TGTTTTTTAACTGATTTTGTAGAAGTACGTGGTTGTTTTGTTCTTACAGCTTCATTTGTTATGATAAAAAATATCAATAGTATCAATAATAAAAATTTAAATTGCATTTTTTTTCTTTTTATTTTAGTTAACAGTAGTTATTTATAAAAAAATTATTATATATTTTGCTTTAATGCATTTAAAAAACTTTGCCATAAATTATTTTTGTTCTTCCTTCGCCAAACAAATTCTATTAAGTAATCATTTATAACTTCTTTATTTCTGTTTCATTCACTTAAGTTCATTTTGATTCCTCACCAAGTACCTAAGATTTTGAAAAAAAAATATTTACATAATAATAAAATTTATGTAAGAAGAAATATAAACTATATAAAAATCTACCTTCTATAGTTAATGTATGTATCTTTTTGATCTTTTGTTTAAGATTTTCTTTTGAGTGATTTACTCTAATATGTTTATAATCTAAATTTTCTAATCCTTGATAACCACGCCATGAATCTGTATATATTGTTGAACCTATTCTAACATGTTTTTTTATAATTCTTTTCAAAGTTTGATTACATCTATCTTCAACTACTACAAAAAAACATTTCTTTGCTTCACTACGTTCAACAAATCCTACAACCCAAAAACTAGCATTCTTTTTATATTTTGATTCGTCAATTTCTAATACTACATTTTTACCTCCAAGTAAGAAATCATCACTTGTTAAAGAATTAATTACTAATTTCTGAAAAGTTTTCAAATATTTAACAATTGTGTTAGGAGAAAAAGTTGTAATAAAACTAATAGTAGTATAATTTGCTTTTGTTAACCATAAATATCCTATTAATAAAGTATTATTACAAGCAAGATTATGTTTTGAGAAAAATGTATCTTTAAAAATTGAAATTGCTTTTTTACATTCTTTATTATTACATTTAAAGAGTTTTTTTTCTTGATATACTTTACTTTTACACAAATTACAGTTTTGAATTTTAGTTAAAATATTATTTTCAAATAAAAAATCTATACATTTTTTTTCATCAAATAATATTTCTTTAATTGATTTTAAATTTGGTATACTCATTTTTTTTATATTAAAAAATATATAAAGAGCTCTTTTATATTTTTTTTTAAAAATTAAAAAAAAATGTCTGAAAACTTTAAACAAGAGACTGAAAATTTTCCTTGGAAGAAAATTTTTCCTTTATTCAAAATTTTTAGTAATTGGTTTGGTAAAAAAAAATCAAATTTTAGAAGATATCCTAATAAAATTTATAACCAAATATGAATTATAACTATTCAAAATATCGTTTATTTAGAAATTAAAACTCAAAAAGAAGAAATCACATTCTTAACAGATATTAAAAATTATACAAAAATTAAATCATATATCTGGTCAGCACATAAATTTAAATATTCTTATTATATTAATACACATTTAAAAAATAATAAAAATATTTAATTTCATCACTTGCTTCATCTTGAGTGGAAGATAGTTGATTATATTAATCGTTTAGGTTTAGATAATAGAGAATGTAATCTTAGAGATGGTTCTAATAGTATTAATAATTTAAATTGTAATTTAAGAAAAGATCAAAAAGATACATACATTAACTATAGAAGGTAGATTTTTATATAGTTTATATTTCTTCTTATATAAATTTTATTATTATGTAAATATTTTTTTTTTCAAAATCTTAGGTACTTGGCGAGGAATCAAAATGAACTTAAGTGAACGAAACAGAAATAAAGAAGTTATAAATGATTACTTAATGGAATTTGTTTGGCGAAGGAAGAACAAAAATAATTTATGGCAAAGTTTTTTAAATGCATTAAAGCAAAATATACAATAATTTTTTTATAAATAACTACTGTTAACTAAAATAAAAAGAAAAAAAAATACAATTTAAATTTTTATTATTGATACTATTGATATTTTTTATCATAACAAATGAAGCTGTAAGAACAAAACAACCATGTACTTCTACAAAATCAGTTAAAAAACATGGTAGAATTAAGAGTCCTAAAACTGTAGTAACTCCTATAAAAGCTTCTCCAGGCTCAGTAGTTGATATTTTGGTTACATTTAATCTTAAAAAAAATAAATATAAACGTATATTAAACAAAAATAGTAAAATATGTAAGAGATATCCAAATGGAATTTTTGTAGAACATATTAGTAGAAATAGTCAAATTCGATATTCACCTGTTCATAAATTGGTACAACTAACATATTAAATTAATTTGTTTATTATAAAATTTATTTATATTATTAAATTAAAATTTTTGTATTACATTAAATTATATAAATAATTAAGGATTTTTCTTTAGTTAATTAAAAAAAAATAAAACGTAAAAAATCTGAACTTCAAAAATCTAATATTAAAAGAATCAAAAATGAAAAAAATAAAATTCATCCTATTAGTTTAGTTTTTAACTATATTGATGATCCACATATTTTTCATAATGTTTCTCTTGTTTGTAAAAAATGGCAAAAAGTTCTTGATACTCATATTTTTTGGAAAAATTTAATCGAACATCTTGAATTTGAAGAACCAAAACCTAGATCACGAAAATATAAAACATATAAATCTATCTTTGTTAAAAATATTAAGAAAACTTGTGAAAAATATAGAAAAAATTTTGGAAAAGAAAACAAAGATCTAGTTGAAATTTATAAGAAACTTAAAATTTTAAGTTACTATTCATTTAATCGATATGAATTTTATAAGCAACAATTGTATAATGAATTTTGTAAATTTACACAAGATGAACTAGAAAAATTATGTTTTCAAAGTGAGCATGAAGATTTTATTTTATATGAAAATTGTAATAATGAAGATTTAGTTATTGAAGCAATTAAACAATTGATAACTAAATTATATAAAGAAAAAGAAAAAAAAGAAAAAATTCAAAAATTTAGTACTTTTTTTTATAAAGATTTTTGTAGAGTTATTATACCTAATTTATATAATATTATTAATTATAAGAAATATTTATTTATTGAAAGATTTGGAGGTGTTATAAAAAACTTTAGTGATTGGGATAAGGAAGATGAAAATAAATATATTAATTATGATAGTGATTCAGATTCTGAAAATATTGATTATAATTTTTATAATTAAATTAATAAATATATATATATTTTTTTTGTCTAAAATTATTTTTTTTTTAAATATGTGAAAATATTAGTAAGTTGATTATTTATATTATAAATTATAATAGCATAAGCGAAGCGACGCTTTTTAATATTACCTATAGCTAGATTCCGTTAAGTCCTACTTATACTATAAATAATCAGATGAAAATTTTTAGAAATTTTTCCTACCTCCTACATGGTAGATGACCTCCACAAAACTCATTACTTTTAGGTTACTACATACCTATAGTA